GTCCCTAATATCATGCATTCATTACAAATACTACGCGTTCCTCCCTTGTATTTTATCGGTAAAGTATGCTATTAAATTCCAACGTGCATAAGTCTGCAACACTTCATCTCTTCTCTTGTGGATCAGACCTCTCTAGTGTCCAATAGTTAAACATGTTATTATTACTTACGTGAACCTAGAGGACTTTCTGAAAGATAAAACGATTGAATCGCCCAATCGTTCGAGATAAGTGATTGAAGTCTTAGTTAGATATCTCAAATATTTCACGGTCTACCTTGAACGGTCACAATCATCCTATAGAATTTTCACAAGAAACACGTTATAAGAGCGTTCGTGTTTTCTCGGTTGATTCTCAACACACTGCAGTTTACATTAAACGGGATATTTACTGAGTTCATCACCTATAGATGTCACCTCACAGCATTACTTAATCGTCTGATGTCAGGATAGACCACAACATCTTAGGATCATTTGCAAAAAGTAGGAAACTAGGAGTGCTAACTCTCGCGAAATGAATTTTTAAAAAATAAGGAATAGGCATCACTCCGGTATTCGACTTTATGGCACGCCACACTGAACGTTCATCGAGTGGGGAGATATCACCTTAAGCGGGAACTTAAACATCTAATACAGGAAATAGTCGCTGATTCCATAGTTTCAAAGCTTATAAAGCAGATGATGGTCCCAAAAGTCCAACGCATTTGAAGAGCTCAGAAAACCAGCGTATACTCTAATGCCAGTATCGAGAGATTGTGTTCAACAAACGTGGACTAACAGAAGCTCTGCAGCGCACGACCAGTCCAGACGAAGCTGTGTTGCATCAGGAAAATGATGTTATATTTCTGATTATTAGCCTGCAGTATTATAATTAACATCGGAAGGAAAACAACCTGGAGATAAGTTGCGAGTTTAGTACGGTTACCCCACTGTAAACAGATGGTAAGCTTTCACACTCCTGGAGTTGGAACATAGATCTCACTGATATGTCAGCTAAAAAACGAGTAAGTGACCCAGCCACCTTCAAGATCACCACAATTAATGCCTTTGGGCAGACGGTATTTGCACCAGGGTAGCTGGGCTTTGAAGGTACAAAAGAAAAGAACGGAGTAACCATCGTTTTGGCGACTGAAAATGGTTAAGTTTATGGGTTTATCACAAATCCCCGTATGAAAATCCGTGCCCCCTCCCGATGTTCTGTGCCTCAGCATTTGAAGTCATACGATGCCTTGTATACGACAGTGCAATGAGTTTTGTAACCTGCTCGTATAGCCAAACGCGGCCTGCTCATCGCGTTGAGTCACTAGCGCCCTGTGAGTTTGTAACTGTAATTTTATTCAGCGCGGTAGCCGAAAATCCCACTTCAAACTGATTCTGTCTATTGATCGTCGGAATATAATATTGGTCAAAACCCCTCTCCTTGAGGTCAACTTACAACAGTCTTGGTAGTTCCCGTCTTCGGGTAGGACTCCACGGTAAGCATTGTGGCACATTTAGCTTACGTAATAACACATTCAGCTGATTTCTTGCAACATCCAACCGGAAGGTACAAAGCAGCCGTGTCAGTGTGAGGCAGCTGGTAATTGAGAAGCCAGATTTTTCGGTCGTTTGGACCCAACTGCGACATCCATTTCATACTCAATCATTATTCCGTAGATTGCTCGATTCTTCCCGCCAATAACAGTTATACTTGGCCATCTCCCATGAAGCCGTTAGTTTGTGCGTTTGGCTGTCTGGTACCGTGTTATTCACTTCCGGGATTATGCTAGCAAATATGGTCCAGAGCTTCCTTGCAAACATACACGCCTCAGGTGAACCGTGTGACCCCTCGCTTTCATTATACTTGCAAACCTCCCAGATAAATGTTGAGGTGAGCTCCGTTCCATTGTGTTCCATCACTAATCCTAATGAGCCACATTTCAGGAAAGGTTTGTTGAGTCCATCGGGAGTAATGGAGGTCGGGATGATCATCGGGATACACCAACATTTTAAAGAGCCGCCAATTGGCCCCAAGGATTCCAAGTGGAACCTCTACCCGCTTCCTTCCCCGCTTTAGGACCACGTTGTCAAGGTCATTTCGGATAAGCCTTCCACCCACATTGGCAGGGTTCAGTTTTTGGCCACAATTTATGACCTCCTAATCAGTGTGAGACCAATACAATCAGATGCATGTCATAGCTTTTCTGTTGTTGGGATCGGGATACGCCAACAAAATTGCAATGGGATTTGTCACTGTGACTTCCTTGGCAACACAGTCCGGTCTACGAGCATCAAACAACTGTTAACGACTAGAAGGGATCTATTTTGATGAAATAAGTCGTGATCAAATGGGATACCACGGTTTGGGCAACATGCCCGAACGCAATGCATCCTTCCCAATAAGATTTCTCTATGGAAAATACCTGCGCAAATTGTGTCAGAAGTTAACACCAGCCTTCTTAGATTGCCGTGCATGATTCGCTGAGCATCCAAATCAAAATTTACAGCTGCGATTACACAGTTGTCGCTCGTCGTTTGTTGTGAGCTGACAAGGCGAGACAAAGCATCGGTTTGGCCGTGTTGCATGGATGGATAATGTGTGCTGAAACCGTGTGCTATTCATACGGTCGTCTAGAATTGCGACAGATTTGGAGGAGGAGGATTTTCTATCATTGGTCCGGATACTGAAAGCAATGGCTTATGATGCGTGATGAGCACGAACCAGTATGTGGTCAAAACCGAACTCCGCTGTTAATTCCCATTTATATCTCACTTTATTCTCGCGGGCCAGTTTGACGCAATGGCTTCCAAACTTTAACACTTGGAGTGGTCTTGTAGGTCTATAAATCCAAATGATCCATGACCATGCAGTTCCGCGTCCTCATTTGCAGGAAGCATTCACGATTGATCGTGTGGGGGAGGGGGCGCCATGGCCCTTTTTATGCATACATCGTGGGGTTGCTGGAACGATTGATGAGTGCCCTCCGTGCAATATGGAGAGACTAAAAATGTCCCATTGGATACCTTAGTGTTAAATATGATAGTGTAGTACGTAGGAGACTAGACTTATTCGTGGTTACATCCGGAATATTTTAAATGACAGAACCACCAGAAAAGTAGAGTTGTACAATTACTACGCCTCAAAAGGCTTCCACGAACTAAACACGACATTTTGGGAGTAATATGTTTGTTCCGCGGCACTTTACCTATTATCTCTTGCAAATCCATTGTGAATCACCCGTCCCGAAGGGTGTAGGCTGCTATTATGTGCAGAATTAGTTCTGCTGTCAGTCCAATGTGACTGTAAAATGATATCTTAAAGGAAACCAACGATGGGTCAAAGTGGAAAAGATGGGAGACTCAGGGAGGCCACTAAACATGCAGTACCAGCAATAATTATGAACGGCATCAAGACGCTTAAATAGTAAGAACCTCAGGTTAGTCAATAAGATCAACGTTCACCTCGCCATGGTGGTGCAGAATTGCCCACTTCCATTATCAAGTCAACCGGGGCATAGTATGAACATACCGGATGGTGAAATTTCACCATTCAGTCCACTTTCGATTATCATGATGAGGTCCTAGTAAATACAGTCTTGGGTTGATCTAGGCCCAAGAAGTTTTATGAGAAGACCTAGCGTACCGATGAATAAACAGGCGAGAAGCTAGGTCAATAAATCATACTGGTAAACAGTGACAACAGATACGAGGATACGCCGATCACTTTGAGGATGGCCGCTTGTAAAATTGGGGTTGTTTCACATCTGTTTATCGCCCATTGACTAGTGTGCAATATGACGCTTTCGCAACCGCTGGTCAGGCCCTATTGCATCCCATCTCAAATGTGGATTGCACTCCGCGTCACGTTCCCATTAAGAGTTCTTCAAGAAAACCAGCAGTTAAACGAATTAAAACTGCTAATGGCTTAACCCTGCACTAAATTTATTCCATCACTAATGGTAAGTAAAAGAAGTATCCCCAGTACCCCGGTATGCAATACCAACGGTTCGCTACTGCGCAACCACCAGCAGTAGCGCATAGGCTACGCAGGATCGAACCCGCGCCTTTGAGTTACAAGGCAGGTTTGGGACCATGCGCCGACAATAGTGAGCAAACCTTAGTACAGTATTTATTGGTGGAACCTAGAGGGAGGGTAAATGGAGGTGGATAAATGCCAGGTATTACTTGCTCACAACATTACACTCCACAATCGGGTTCGAACATGGCTGCGCTCAGCAGATAGAGGTATATATATTGTGTATGTATTTAACACTTGCTCAGTAAACATTTGGCAGAGTGCCACAACACTTGAGTAACGGTAACAAAACGGGGGAAAAGAGTCAGAAGGAGGAATACAAAGTTCCATGTGCTGTATAGGCAGAGACCTTCCCAGTTGCCCAGGCCGAGAAAGAGGGTTGAATAAGGGCCCCTCCCGAGCCTTTGGCCTTAAAGTCCTGACCCACAAGGTAGCGGGACGATTCATGAAGACCACTGGCAGCCAGGTGGCTCATTCGCCTTCTTTGTGTTCGGGAGCAGTCCACAGAGAAGCCAATGGCCAGCAAGGTTGTTCATCCGCCCTCAGTTACACACTCACCTCCAGTTGCAGAAGTGAGTGGTCAGTGGCTCTATAGCTGGTCACGTTGTCTCTGACACAGCGTCGTATGAGCAGTTGTGGCATTTAATGGAGAACCAGGTGACCAGCCCAGAACTCCGCACGCTCTGAGACGCTGCCGCTGATTGTCCGTGACTGCTTATTTATCTCGCTTGCAAAGCAGACTTGACTTATTCGTAGTTACCTCCACAAGGAAGGCCTTCCCGATCCGCAACGAGGCTCAAACACTTCAGCCATGTAAAGAAACGCAAATGTAAAAATAAAACATAGTCGTGGTACTTTCCAATGTATATGATTGGGTGGGTATTTTAAGATAACAGGGGGTATATGGCGAACCAGAAAGCTCAATATCATAATGGCAGTCGTTAAGGTGAACTTTATACAACGAACAGGAGAGTTAAACCTTCCTTACCCAGCTTGAATCCGACCAAGGCGATCACCCATGGTAGCCAGGCGGCCCCAAGCGCAGTTTAGTTGCCCTCCTATGAAGGAATTTTCATATTCCTTTTCAATTTCGGCTCTGCGTTGCCAGACGGGAAGCGTACGGTCACGGTGGTACGTGGGCCACAGCGCAGTGCCTCTTTCTAGCAGCAACAAAAATCGCGCAATCTCAGAAGCATGTTCCATGCATGTTTCTAATTCCATCAGTCTTTGTCCGGCCATCTAGAATGGAAATGCATTCCAAAGAACTAATGAATACGTTCAATTAGCAGATTATTCGAAAAGCAAAAGAGTCTCGTCGTAGTGTACCATTGGCTTAGCTAATAACGGTTTTCTTTTCGGACATACAGTGTACTTTTATGTTCACGCATCCCTACTCTGGTAAACGTAACATTTCAGGAGCTAGCTCAGCGATTTTCTGGTTTACACACTCCTGTATCCTCATCAGTGTTCTTGTAAAAACTAAGTCAACGGCATAAATTTTTAAACTACATATTGATATAGAAGAAGTAGTTGAATAGGTACATGGGTATGTCTATTTGAAAGCTGTCGTTGCGCAAGAATGAAATGAGACACCTTAACTCGATCTCGACCACGAAGTGAACCTCGTCGATTTCGATTAATGAAACCGCATCCAAAGCAGATAAATGCTCGACGAAACTATCTCCCAACCATATACTACATGACCAGTTTTGCAGGCGTTTGCACCTGCCAAGTAGACATAATAGGGTTGCGATTCGAACGCAGGCCTCTAGACCACGCAATTGACCAAACTTCAATTCAAATTAAATCGTGGTCCAGACTGAGATCGTTTGTCCCAATCCATTCACACAACGAGTATTTTAAAGTATCCCTCCAATAAGTAATTGATCAGTTGTAACAAGCGATATCCGTCAAGCCTCGGTAGCTTAGAGGTAGCGCTTTTTGCTGACATCCCACAAATCCATGGTTTGAGTCGCAAGCTGGTTATTGCCATATACTGATCGTAAAGGGGTGCGAAAACCGTTATGAAGTACAGGGTTATGAACAGGCCACATCCAACATTCATTTTCTCCAGCAGCGCTTCACGCGCGTTAAACACAATACATACAAAATGGATCGCGTAGAAGAAATGTTGAATGTATCCGAATATCAGTTAGGCTACTTGGTAGGGCCAGTAACAACATACAATAATATGGTGTTGAAAAAGTCTAATGGATTACCGCAGACAATCTGTAACCAATTTAAGCCTAGAAGACTGACGGTTATGAAGAGTAGAAACCATTATTACGGTAGAAAAGACTAAACGAAGCCACAGTAAGCCACTCGGTCACATTGCTCAAAATTATCTACTGCGATGCAAAGGCTCGGTTGATATTTCTTCTAGTGTCTTCGGAGTTAATCACCAGGGATTGTTGAGTAAAAAGAATAAACTGACATTTTAATCATGGCAAACACTACTACATTCCAAAATGACCACTAAACTCCAGATATGTAGTGCTTCAGGCTGCAACTGTTGATTCCGTTAAGTGACAGTGTGCAAAAGGTCGTACACGGAAACTGGTGCACAAAACGCAGGTGTGTGTTAATTATTATGTGGTACCAACCTTGATGTATTGGGTCAGAGATGGTTGAGAATGCGCTTCAGGATCCCGACTGACAGTCGTTTCAAACTGATCTACAGCAACTGCTAGATCTTCCAGATGTCTCCCGATCAGATGAGGCAAGGCGGAATGCAACTGATGGACTGTCGTTCTTAAGCCAATCATGAAATCAGTTCTGTAGAGAATGGGTATGGACACATGATAGAAAGGCGGGAAAGCCAATAAGGCGTAAAGCAATACACACAATATATTGCGAAAAATATTCAGTTGCACTCTTATCACATATTTTTGACGAAACACTGATGTCTCTTTCATTTTTATCACGTACATCGTACATGTCATCCAACCGTTGTGGCATCATTCAATCAAAGGAAGTCGTTCCAGCTCATTAATTCGGCGAAGTGCCGGTACCCCTGTGTACCTTCCTAGCGTTGTCTAACGGTACCATACTGCGGAGTTTTCCCACGAATTAGCTCTATTCTGTCAGATGTATAACAGTGACAAGATCAAGACCTTCGGTGCACCGTAAGTTAGCTACTGGTGGGGTTTTAGTACTGGATTCCATTGGAACCTGGCATTTTGCAGAGGTTCAAAACAGAATAAAGAACTGATAACCTCTTTCAAACATGCATTATATTCCAAACTATGAGGCTTCATCCGAGGAAATTTCACGTCGCTCATTGAATTCACCTACTCGTCAACGAGCACTAATTTGGACGTAAGTAGAGCGTCTCTGCGTGATATACTTGCAATCGTGTACTTGGTGCTGATATCGACCTGATAAGTTATAAGAGAGTATGTATAACCCTTAACAAACTATGCAGCCAAGTCTGCCAAATATTCACACACAAATACTTTGTTAGCAAAACGGGAGAGATATTTGCTGCTTGCAGGAGACGGACAGTTCGACTGGTTAACTTGCCGTTCCCTAAGTCCGCGGAGATGCAATTGTTATCCTACAGTGTCAGATGAATTTATAATAAACTTCAAACATATCTTGCAACGCTTAGTTGTGAAACTTGATGGTTGTGTTCCCAGAAAGCACACAAAGAGCATGACCCAATTACATAAGAAGAGACCATCTTCATCAACAACAGCAGTACATCAGCCATTTGAACTGATGCTTCGCTGTCATACAACCATGATGACCTATAGAATAAAGAATAATAAGAGGGAGAGGAGGAAAAATCACTGAAAACCCTAATGCCCTAAGCAAACACGCAGGGTTAAGGCGCCTACACCTTGTGTGGACAACCTATCATCATAAAATGCTGGCTATAGTGCAAAGTCGCATCGGCAAGACAGATTCCTTGCGGCTTTCATTGTCCCGCGTCATAAGCAGCCATTACTCCGCAGATAAATCAGCACCAACCACACTTTAAACAGGCAATCTGACTAGGAGACGGCAGCAGCGGCGCCACTGGTTTCGGTTGCGGGCCATGTCCTGTAAACTCTCGAGCCAAGCACAAGGCGAGTCACGTGGACTCCAGCCCGGAAGGCGAGAATGACCAACGGCACCCAGTTTGATCGTCAGTGACTTCATTTCCCGGTGCTCTCAACTTCTGTCCTTAAGAAGACATAGTGGGATAAATCGCGAATAGAGGGCTTTTTTCGACGTTTAACACAAGTCTCTACAGTCACCGAGAAACGATAAAGTACTGTTTGTTTTGCATGGGGGAAAGAGAGTTCGAAGGACACGTGTAGCAGTGGATAGAGGAGCGCTCCTGGATCGACATGGGACGCAAAAGCCATCATCTATAGGCACACTACTTTTGAGTAACCCATATAACTAACGATCTGAACACCTCATATCCGGTCTTAGCCGTAATATACGCCAATGATGCACAGTGTCACTGAATCCTCCTCCTCAATGGAATTTATGAGAGACAAGTTGAGCAATGAATCGTATGCTGGTGGAATATGTTGCGCACTGGGTACGAGCAAAAATCTGACACAAAATAATATGCAGAAGGGCGTTTTGGCAGGTGATTATTAGGCTGTATCCTGTACTCATGCAATTAGAAACCCTGCCCAGATGCATGGAAAGTTAGATGCAAATTGCATTTGCCACAAAACTTACAAACTTCGAACGAGATCGCGGAACTTTTCATGTTGCTTTGATGCATGATTAAGCTGTGAACGAATTCGCTTTCGGTCGAGCAACAGATAACCCATTGTATGTAGACGAGTAAGCAGAGATGCCGCACGTTCGTTTTGAGGCTGCAACATATATTTGTCTGGGCCGAATTCCGTTAAGTCTAGAGGAAAATGAAACAAGGTGTCGGATGCTAGTTCCGTCGCTTCGTTGCACCGTTGTTCCAAAAGCGCAAATTGCTTGCTTAGCTGTAAAGCATAAAAGCAAGGATGATGAGATGAAAGGAGTGTTCACGCGGCAAACATTTTATCGGATACCAGATCAGACATTCCACAAATACTTTCGTATAGTCTTTAAGACGCTGGAAGTGGCAGTAAACAAAGTGTAAAGGAGCGTAAAATATTGGCAACAGTATGATCAGTGTACAGTTGTGTGACTTTTAAGAGCCAAACAGCTGCTAGAAACCGCTGACCTCTCCCAAAGTAAGAACTCTGAGGGATACATACTGTCCAATTTTTAGTCAAGTGTTCAACGATGATCGCGTCAACTAGCTTCAAGCAGCCAGTTAGTGGCGAAGGAGACTAAAAGTGCTGTTTGATAAGCCTCCCCAATTGTTTTCGTCAAGCTATGAAGAGAACACGGTTTAGAAGGCGAGATTGTTTCCATCCCACCAGGCTGGTACTAATAGGACACGAAGGTGTGTTTCTGTGACCATAGAAAGTAGAGCTATCCATAATGTGGGAATACGGTCCCCCATCATTGCTGATAGGCAACAACCATCACCAACCTTCGTTAACTGATGGGCACTGTATGTTTCAGGCTCACCCGCATATGGATGGGACCCCAAAGTGCCTAATAAACAACTGTGAGTTGTCAATCTAGGGAAGCGATTACTCATGAATCCCGGTGTTGTTTTTAGGAGGGCTGTTCACATATTTTGTGCGGAAGTAACTGATTAACAATGCTATGAGTAAAATTTGTGAGTACACCAGAGACTGAAATGCATCAAATAAAGTTCTGCCAAAAATATCTCTCTCACACATGCATGTGGATAGAGTTTGCCAACTAAAAAGACATTACGTTATTTGAATACCTTCTACGCAAGTAATAACTCCAGATGTTAGTATCCTACCACATTTGGTAAATAAGCCGTACTAGCTTGGAGCACTACAAAAGTAGATCAAGGCGCTAAAATGAAATAAAACCGCCCTGCAGGATGAATACCGCTCTGTTTATAATCATCATGGCTAATGCGTTTGCCACGTTAACCAACTGCTGTAATATACTGAAACAGATGGACGCAAATGTCAGACGCTTAATTCATACCCTGTTTTATTTTAAGCCAGTAAGGTAATGTTTCGTTTTGTTTTAGTGCTTTTGTATCCAAAATATGGGGTGTATGCAATACCAAATGGCTAAAGTGAACGAATCAGTCGCTGAACATTTTATTATGGACAATCCATCAGAAAGGAGGAGCGTTTACAAATGATTCCCACTAACTAGGCGCACCGTGTAACAAAGGTGACTAATTATCGGGGCACTCTGAGAGCTATTCACCTTTTCGCTTCGCGATGTAATCCGAATATCCAAAGAAAAAAACTATCAGAGTAGATAAACCCGTTTCCCAAACACCCAAGAAAATTGATCCAAAACCGCTCAATTGTGTTTGCATTCGACCGGTTGTCAGAACAACTTTCTGTGGAAGTATCGCTAGTTCCGTATGCATTGTGCTTAAAAATAGGGTCGGAAATGTTTACAGATACCTTCCAGTCAACAACAAAATCATTCTGCATTATTTACTTCCCAGCGTATAAATTCCACAGATAGCCTATGTGTCATTAGTTAAAAAACCTTTCATTTAATGATACAGAGTACACGTTATTCACGATTTCATTGTTTTCGTTCTACAGGGGCCTCTCTGGAACATAATCATTACCACTAGTTTGCCTCGCAGATTAAGCTGCTTTCTAAAATAGGCTGTAAACAGAGAAACTTAGCCAAACTGACATCGAAAATCCGGAAACAGCAAGGACGCTTAGTTGTTTGATTTAGATCGTTACCGATGAGTTTCCTCTGGTATCATGCAAGCCTGCTAGGTGATGCGTCTATCGGTATGCCCGTCGATCGCTGTTCGTTGGAGTCAGGTAAAAGTTCACCTCAATGTGGCCGATTCTCACATGTGCTGCTAATATCGACGATTGCATAAACTGATCAAATTATTCTAAATAAGACAATAAGAAGACTGGTATTGCGAGATGGAACCATTTCGTGTTATCTGCTCACTCGCAAACTAACAACATATATATGGATCACGTGACAGAAAATCGAAGATTTGAAACTGGTCACAAGGGAAAAATTACGTAGACGCAAGAATGACATATCATCATCTTGATCCTAGGGTCATGAGCCCCAAGGCAGCTTCAGGGAGACTGTTAATTGTTTTTGTACACATAGGATAGGGCGATCCCGGTTAAGTGCCACCGCTTCGGCAAACCTCAACACTTTGGGGTTGTCATTTCGATAGATAACTGTAAATGTTGACCTAGGGTCAACCTGATGGCCTGATTCTAGTAGGTGTCTGGCGATCGATGAGGCCGGCAGCTTAGATATCTTTTCTCGTTCGGCTGCTTGTTGTGTCGATAGTTTGGCAATCCGTTTTGGGATATGCTCTCCAATGCGCTTACCCAAGGATCGATCTGTTTTGCCAATGTAATTACTACCGCAGTTACAAACGTAATTTTTCCCTTGTGACAAGTTTCAAATCTTCGATTTTCTGTCACGTGATTAATATATATGTTGTTAGTTTGCGAGCTAGCAGATTACACGAAATGGTTCCATCTCGCAATACCAGTCTTCTTATTGTCTTATTTAGAATGATAAAGGGAACTTAGTGCTTTAAATTTGATCGAATTATGTTTTATGTGAAGGTGAAACAAAATTAGTTGAATGAATTAATTTACTGCTTTGAATTATAGATAATAATGCGCTTATTTTCAAAGCTTTGCCGAAATGTCACCTACGTCGCAGGCGCCTACATCAACTGACGTAAAAGAGAAATGTGGCAGGTGTGGAAAAATGTTCAATAACATGATTATAACATAATTGGTGTAGATGTTTATTCTATATAAGGCAAAGTATCATATCTAAAGATCAGTCTGCTTTGTACTAATAGTTTGGAGTTATTTGTTTGCACAGAACCCACTGTAGGGGTAATAGCCTCTGTAGAAGAATGGCGAATGCCCTATTCCAGGGTTCTTTCGTTCCGCTCAGCGGTCCCATCGTTGTAGTTCCCTGAGACGGCGGTACGGAAGACACAGTAGCTACATGAGAGCTACCGGGAGTACAACAGACCGACGTGAAGAGTTTCAGGCTTAACGTTGTAAGTCCTGTACTCCTCCTTAACGGATGGAATAGGTTGGGGCGAACCAGAGCATATCGAAACCCATATCAAATTTCCGCTCGAAATCCGGTCGGTAGTGTATAAGAATACAGGTTAGTAACTGGAGGTTATCATGATGCTTATCTTTCTCGCTTTGTTTCACAAGTTAGTCATAACAGTAAGTATGACAATGTTTCCCATTGTTCTTCTGACGTTTGAATGTAGCTGAGTTAAGGAAAGGGTATTTGATATTGGGGTGAGACGCGGCAAGGCATAGGTACCTGCCTGAAGTATGGAGAAAGCCTGGCTTCCGGTAGAATTAGAACATATTGCAGTTCCGCCCTTGTTTTGTTGATTACGGTAGAAACGAGCTCACTCAAGGCATCCAAGTGATTTGTTGCTAAGCGCCTCCAAAAGGTTGGCAAACAATGTTCTAAGCGGATGGTGCAAGGCGCGATAGTATCAGATAGACGGGATGAGCAGAACGAATATGAAGTCAACGGTCCGAAAGCTAATCAATCGCAGTCGGATGATGCTGCTCACAAATGCACAGACCGAATGAAAAGTCCAGTTTTGGTCTGAAGTATTGTGACCGGAACAGAGCATTGTTCTAACCCTGAGGCATGAGTAATACCAACAGCGGCGAGCGAAGAGCAAGCGCTCGCCAGTAACTTTGAGCGCATGGTTATAAACAAATAACCGGTGGGAATGAGCAGAAATACGATGGCAATTCCAAGTTCTGTACCACATAAACAACCTATCGTACGGCATCACAATATTCTTGTCGTTGTCTAGCAACAGTTTTAATTATTGGTTGGCTAATGTAAACCATGGATGACATCAGTAACCGAATGCTGGTTAGTCGGTTGTTTAGGTCTCGATGTGAAAGACCTATTTGAGATTCGTCATATTTCATGCATACTCCTTTTTATCTTTGGTTGTTGCATTGCAACGCTGTTGAAAATATCCACAACTCGCTGTGTAGATATGGATTTTGTGTTGTTAGAGGAGCTTAGCGCATCTCGCACAATCGTTTCATTTGGTCTAGAAATGCTTGGCAGGCAAACGTCTGCAGTTAGGTGACTCAAGTCGGCGAACGAAACAAAATGCACTTTGTACCCCTTGTATACACAGTTCTACGTTACTGGCTTATTTTCACCAGCCTCCTTGGGGCCAGTTCTAGTTTATTTTCCTGCAACAATTACGATTGTTTAAGTGTGATTCTGTTATGTCTATGTGCACTTTTACAGGTTTACGTGCCGGCCATAGGGTTATTTACCCAGGTTATCTTTTGCGGATTACCTAGAATTTCAGCAGTCCTTAAGCTCCGTTATATATTGTCATGGGGACCCCACATCCCCATAATGATCATAAAGTCAAACCACGGAAGGCAAGTAGATTCGATTCAGAAAAGTGCACATATTTTGATCAGCCCTCCAGCTCGTGAGACATTCGCGTTTCGATTGGCATTTGTACCTCAGAAAACATTTCGGTTTCCGGCCAACTTTCCTTCAATAATAAATATTTATCCTTTTGTTACCTAAGAAACATTCAGTTTGTCACTTCCGCCTCCGCATCTACCAATATTCACTTTTCAACATCTTCCGTCGGCATATTTGCATAGTACCAATTCAGTTGTTTCCAGGGTTATCTTACGCAAATCATTGACGCCTCTGTCTACGGGATCGGATCAGTTCTCTCCAATCGCTTCCCAGATGGCTCCGAAAAAGCGATTATGCACGTCTCACGTATCCTGTAGCCTGTGGAGAATAACTATGGTCAGATTGATAAGGGAGCCTTGGCCATCGTGTTTGCCGTCATCAAGTTCCACAAGATGCTGTATGGCCGGCGGTTCACGCTATTGACTGA